AAAAAAAAAAAACACAACCAACACTCACAAGAGGAGAATGAGAGAAAATGACTACAAAGGGTAATGCTCACTCGCTACTCGGCCAACACAGAGGTCAACAACCTAAACCAAAAAACACAAAAACGAACAGACAATCTAAAAAATAGGGGTGGGCGCGGTCCGGGACGGTCCGGGATTTGACCTATCTTGGTACCTGTCCCAGTTTTTTGAATTGGTCTGGGACCGGTCGGTGACGAGACCCCGTCCCAAACAGATCGGTATCAATCGGGACCGGGACAAAACGAGAAAAAAAAAATGTTCAAACTTCAAACAAATTATTCACTGTTTCATTTAAAAAAAAAAACTTTGACTCAAAGCATCCTACATTAAGAAAAAAGCTACTAATAGTAAATTAAACACTGAACATTGTCTTGAACATTGCGATTTGGAGATGGAGATAGTATTGTTGTCTGCTTGTGTCTGTAAGTAAATATTAAATGGGCCAACTGCATTGGGCTTTCAATTATAAAAATCAAAGCCTGTTAAAATTGAATATTTGAATTAAAACAGAACCCTAACTCCAAGCCTGTATTGTTAATACTAACATAAATCTTAATAATGTATAATATATATATATATATATATATATATATTATTTTTGTACAAAAAATAAAACGTGACAAACTGGACGCTTCGAGAAAAATTTTATAAAAACCGATACCGACATTGTTTCAACCGGTTCGGTACCGGGAACGGTACAAAAATTTCAAAAATCGTTTGGAACCCTATCTTTCGGAACAAGACCATTTCGGTTCGGTTCAGTTCGGGATAGGGAAATCCAGTTTTTTTGCCCACCCTTACTAAAAAACACAACGAAAAATATAATGACAAACTAAAAAATCTAAGCCCTCCTTCGGCAGAACATCCGAATTGAACAGCAGACATTGGTCGAGTCTAAAGAGAGAATCGAAACACAGAAAACACGCCCACCACTGCCTAACTAGAATGACAGTTGTTAGTTTTGCGACTTACATTTGTTAAATTATAGTAACTTTTATAACTTATATCATATAACTACTTGAAACATAAATATATTAATTGATAAATAAGTTTATTTTTCTAATTAATATTAAAATACAATTTTATTATTGTTATAAAGATAAATATACTTTTTTTATACATACATATGGATGTTAAATCGAAGCTCATCAAGAGATGATTAATTTTATATATTATATATGTAAAACTGATGAAAAATACAAAAGTTATTAACTTTTAAAATACATTTTATTCAATGGGTATAATAAAAAATGATATTAAAATACTATTAATACATGTAACATGACCATAAGAGCATCTCCAATGCTCTAATGTTGTTGTAGAATATTTTTTTTACAAATGTCAATAAATTATATAGATTGTGAACCATGTAGGAAAAATGTTAAGTTTACAACTATGAAATTAAAAAGTTATCTCCAATGCACAATGTAGTCTAACTACAATTCTATTTACTTACCAAATATAAAATTATATATGTATATATAATAAGGAAATTAATTAAATAATTAAATAGTTTGGAATTGGTAAGAATTATTATCTCTCTTCTCTCCATTGGCTAGCTAGAATGTGGATGAACCACATACTTCTCTACATTGTAGACATTAATTATGTCCACATCATCACAACATGTGTGATCACATTGTAAATTTGAATGATAAAAAGTTGTGATATTGCTAAATGTGTTGATGTGGAATGTAAGTTCCACAACAACATTTGAGCATTGGAGATGCTCTAAATAATCAACATATTTATGGATAATCCGAACCTAATTATTTTTGGATTGGAAGTAAATTAGAATCTACCCAAGCTTGATAACGAAGCATATAATCTTGCCATATAGGATCTCGAAGCATGCGAGTCTACTACTTAAGCTCAGCACGTTTTGAATTAATATATAGGGGGATATCTTCATCAAATCGTATCATTAAGGGGGGTGCTTTAAAATTTAATCTTAAAGATTTTTAAGATTTTGTACTTTTTTTTTCAAAACGATAGAGATTTATTCAATTAAAGAAGGTACAACTCGGGAGACGGATTATTCTTGATTGCTCATGAAAATACACATAGACCATTCACAAGATGGTCTAAACTCCTCATTTACAAACTCAAAAAAATGATACAAACAAATCAAGCTACATACAAGATTTTGTGGCCCCTATAGCTACAGCAATATTGTCTACTAACTGAAGGACAAAGCAGCACAACAACCAGACAATAAGAGAAACAAATACACCACAAAGGAAAAGGTATCTCTAAACCAAAGGGCGTAGCAACCAACACCTTCTTCACTTATCATCTCTTAACGCCTTGCACATTGTAAACTCCATACGGTCCTCATGAACTGGACTGAGCACTGTATGATTCGGCATCCAAACCTTGTGAAATTTCCAGAGATTCTAAAATTTTCATAAACACCAGAAACTATAGGTAGTTAGTTCAATCTTGTCCTCTGAAATACCCCTCATATCTATTGAGCAAACATTCCACCACCATTGCTTGAAAGAACCTCTGACAGGTAACTCATTCCAACAAACCAGAGCTAATTTTCAAATCCTTTGAGCTCTGCAACACTTGAATAAGACATGTTCCACTAACTCCATCTTCTCACCACGCCCTTGGCACCTTGAATCAATATCTAACTATCTCTTCAT